AAAGAATAGAAAGAAAATCATGTAAAATGACCTTTCTCTATAGCTCACACAATACCTATATACTGTATATATATAAACAATACATACATACTCAGTACACTACTTATTGTGTAGGTAGAGTCAGGTACAGGGAATGACATGTCGCGTTTGGATGGTATGTTAGCGCTCTTATTACAGAAGTGACTAGGTGTGCTGTCGCTGCCCATGTGCGACAGTTTATGTGTATCTGACTGTACATCTACATGTTAGTTAAATCAAATCAGAAGTATTGAGTTTGAGTGAGAAAGTAAAACAGATATTAATTTATTGAAACTTGTCAATTTGACTATGGTCATATAAATACCAGTCGAGCGAATTTTGTTGTTCAGAAAAGAGAATAACTAACAATCATTGGATGCAGTACCCTATTAACCGCAACAAAACGGAGTAAAACGGACTAAGACTGAAAAAGCTCGTGCAATAAAAAAAAAACGTAGCGAATTTCAGAAAAACAGTTATGAGGTGAAGCTGTGATAACAGTGACTTTATTTTATTTAAAAATACAAGGCCCTTTAAAGCTGTATAAAGTTCGAAAACTCTGTATGAACTGTGGCAATATAAAAAGCCCAGAAAACCCCCTAAAGGTTTTTAGTTCTAAGTTTTACTCAAAAGAATTCATTTGAAAACAAAAACTAGTAAACTTAACGATAAGCTAGTCAAAAGAATTCTTGTAGGGTGAATGAACTAGCGGTATAAAATATGGGACATTCAAACCGAGAAGTCTATATCTGAATACACGTGTTATTGTTATTAAAGAAATAAACTACAAAGTTTGAAGAGCAAGCTCCTCGAAAAGAATAAACAATAAATATTCTCTGAAAGGACCGATGGTTGATAGTAAAAATTCTCGAACATAAACAAAATTTCTTGCTGAAATCGAAACACAAATAGTGATATACAGTATATGAAATGAGTGCTGGGATTAGAAATCGTTTCCAGTTTCCTTATCTCTTTCTAGATTTTCAGAAAGGTGGAAATATAGAATTAAGGCAAACTTGATTCAATTCTAATCATGAAACTTAGTACCTACCAAAAAAAAAAACCCTTGAATAAAAATAGATTGGTGGCTATATTCATAATAAAACTGATGAATTGGTAAATCTTCCAAATTATGAGGCCAGGCTTGTCACACTGAGAATAAGAGCTGATAATAAAACAAAATAAACAAATAAATTATACTCGCAATGGCCGAACATTCACATTTTTCTATTTATTTTGGTAATTGGGAATCAATTTTAATAATGATCCATCAGGAATTTGCCAAGAAAGCATTCTAAAAGGGAATATTATATAGATGAATATATGAGGTGTTATTGAGGTCACAAAGAATCAAGTGCATGTAAATTGAATGAATAATCGTCTATATGATAAGAAATCATCTCGTTGCTAGAATGAACTTTTTGTTTCAATAATCAACAATCAAGTAGAAGAGTTTCAAAATTCTTTAGCAAAAAAAACTGTTTCCATGGAAATATTATAATATAGTTATCCTGATTCGAGGAACTATTTATAGTTTCAATCAGTATCTCCTTATTCTGAAAAGGAATATTATTTTTATGTTAAAGTTCAGTTTTTTTTTTCACACCCTGTATGAAGAATATCAGTTCATCGTATAACTGACAAAAGTATCATCTTGTTTGTTGTGCAGTAACTGGACATTGATTCAAATGTTGAAACAAACAGTCCTCATACTTGAAAGAAACATTTCTTACAGACATTTTACATGCATGATTGAAAACGAGTAATTACAGCATCATCAATGAAATCAGATCACACTGCAATAAAATCTTGAATAATTAAAAGATAATGCACTTTGTGAAAATACTAAAGTGATGTTATAATCATAGACAAATCTTTGTTCCTCAATTATAATTTTGAGTAGATACCAAAGTGAGTTTTCAGAAGAATGGTGGAAATTTTCAACAAAAAAAAAGGGGTATGGAGGTAACGATATATGATATATAATTATGTGAATAAGTACTTTGTATCCAAAACTCACGTAAGTATGTTTTGAACGATATAAGTGAGTAGGAAAATATGTCAATTGGCTATACAAATGCAGATTTGATAATAATTGAAAATGGGTATGTATGTATTTCAATTTGTTTTTGAAATCGCATAATCACATGAAATACTAGACGACAACATGCTATTGCAATGTAGTTAACAGAAGCCAAAATATAGCACTCTCTGAGGAAATTAAAAAAAAAAAAAAAACTATATGGCTCAAAATTTAACTAGTAAATAAATGTGAATCCAGCAAAACCCATCATAATCTTTGAAGACAAAATTGGATGAAATAGTATATGTCGCATTATAAAAAGTCAAGGCATATCAAAAGAATAAGATATCACTGAAATATCTGATCTAAAAAAAAAGGTGACCAGTTATTTTTTTAAGGCGGGAACTGCTTTGAAGTTAATGAAGATAAAGCATATAATTTATGAAATTGTCATATATACTATATGTATTATATTCTATTGTTATATCATATCTATGAATGTATAGATAATTATTTTTCTTACTATTCTCCACTTTTTGAGGGGAAGTGTTGGATTTCAATAGAAATATCCAAAAAGTGAATTAAAGAAGTGACGCCACTGTTTGGTGTTTATGAATATGAATTCTGTTTTGGTTCCGTATGCTAAACTGTCGGATGCTCACTCTTCAGATATCTATCAATAAAGCAAGTAGTTCAAACCGTCTGACGTTGTTTTCATTAAGTACCTACCAAAATGTCCCATAACAATAATAACTCTTTCCTGAGAAACGAAGGTGAAGTTTGCTCAAGTTTGCTGCGAACATATCTGCAAAAATGTATGCTTCATCTTGCGATGTTGTTGCTAATGTGCTTTGGAGAGTGGTGGGAATGAACTATTACATAGTGAAATTCTTTCCGGCTGCTTCACCGAGGGACCCAAACGAACGATTGATTATACCGCAAAATTTTTCCTCGAATATCAACCAATAAAACAAACAAAATCAATAATTTTCATTTTTGAAGAATATTCAAGGAATGGTTGAAGTTTTTGTAGAATATCCCAGGAACTTCTGAAGTTATAGCAAAACTTTCCCAATGAAATCGGTGGGACCCTGTATATAAATAGCTAGAGCTATATATATTTCTTCCTACGAGGAAAATAAAATAAAACAGAATAAGTAGTGAGCTATATTTATTCAATATGGGTAGGTACATAAAATTGGTCACAGTTGCCCACGATAAGAGTCCAAGAATGAAATAACTCCCTTGAATTGACATTTTGAATACGACTATCAACAAAAAAAGTGTTTCCAAATCGATCAGATAATAACGATTTTACAGGGGTGGTAACTCCTTGAGGTAAACAAACTGTAGGTATTCTCTTTTTTTTTCATTTAAAGTTTCATTTCTGGTTAAGATAGGCAGTAGGTGGATATCCTAGAATATACCTCCTCATCAAGAGGCACATAAAGTACATAGATAAAAACCAATATATGAAATGAAAAATAATATATAGATATATTTGATAATAAAATATAATCAAAATCATAACAAATTGTGAGAACATAACAAGTTGAAAACATTTACATCAATAGGCCTGTTATTTTGTGACAAATGAATTCATTTTATTTTGAAGGAGAGATACCCAAATTTTTCTCCTCTCACTATCAGATGGAAACCTGAAATTTTATGAAAATACATTGAATTGCTTTGCAACCTCCAAGAAGTAAATATGATATATTACAAACCATCTTCAATCTTGTATCATGATGCAATTATTAAGAAATAAAAAAATCGAAAAACTAAATATATCCCCATATCAACCACACCCGACGTTAACAATACCTCTATGTCTACACCACTGATTGTGAAAAATGCGTATTCTTAGTTAGTGAAAAGACACATCCGGGTTTAAATAGTCCAGTTTTTTGCACACTTGGCACTGACGAACCATATTAATTAGTAATTCTCACTGAATTTCACAAAAAAATAGGATTAAAAGCACGAAAATATAACCAAATCACTTCAAAACACAAAACCACCTCAATGCAACACCGCAACAAAAAACATAAACAAACCACACACACAAGGGCTACGAGATGGCTGTGATTGGCTACGAGCTGCTGAATTCCGTATGCGGCGTTGTCGTGCTTTCAGTTACGAATATCTGTGATCTGACGGAATGGAATAGTTCAATGGTAATTAATTCGAGAATAATATTATTTAATTCAGATTATTATACCGTATGAATTATTATCAGTCGGAGCATATGATCAGCACTGTATTGCTCCTAATATGTTGATTTAAATTATTAAACGTATTATGATAACTATGGTGAATCTCCTTCCTTAACTGAATATCTGGCAACCGCACAATCTAGTCGACCACACTAAGAACATACAGTGGACCAGAATTTGGGAATGTCTGATCCTATTCAAATGTAAATAGTTCCGTCTCCTGTGGATAATAGGTCTATGGGCCAAACACTCTAACCAATCAAATTCAAATAAGAAACGACGTCCTCCAAGATGTTACGGCACCTATATTACAGCATGCAACAAACACAAATGGCACTTTCAATCTCAATATTTACCATCGTCTATATTTTAGTTATTGTTATTTTAATGTTCTTCAATCAAGTTTCCTATCATATCGATAAATAAAATATTTTTCCATTATTTATCAGTGCATGAGAATATCGTGCGGAAAAGTTACTTCATCGCACTAGTGCTGAAAAGTTACTCTTCCGCACGGTTTTTGTATTGTGAAAATAAGGATATTAAGGACTAACTAACTGATCCATGTTTATTGAAATCCTTTTTTTTATATAAATAATATGGACAAAAACACTAGGAAAAACTTTGTACCTGACTCTTTAGGAAAATATCTTTTCCGCCCTTGATGACTTGCCGTCGCGGGCAGAAAAGTACTTCTTTCCGCATTTATTAGGTAAATAACTAATTCGTGAAATTATACTTGCCTTTTATTTTCTGTTGAAGTTTTCTCAACCAATAAGACAACACAAAGAGAAGTTACAACTACGATAACAGCAACGACAACAATTATTGACGAATAAATGCGATAACTTTTTCCACGCCAATTTCGCATTTCGTATTTTGATTATAAAATCAATTCATTCACTCAAATGGAACAATGGATCAAATCGAAATCGGCTTATATCTGTAGATTTTACTTACTATTGATAAAATAATAGATGGCACCAATAATAGATATAGTATACTCAATAACTATACTTATATAATATAGCATCACTACGAATACACCCACTTAAAATGGAATATGAAAATATTATGGAAAACTGCGACTGGAATGTTCTGTGTAAAAAGTGAACTATTCAAATTTCTTCAAGAATTTCCTTCATCGATAATAGCATTGTGTATCGTTTCATATAGAGTTGAACTGTGATTTTTTTCGCAAAACTTATACAAACATACTACAATAACGTCACTTCAAATATATGAAACAACCTTTTTCATTTGCAGATTATTCTGAGGAATCCATTACTAGCTCAACTGAATTTTTATTCATCTTGTGTTCATCGTCAGAATCAATTCAATGACGATTCTGTGCCGTTATGTTCAAACCTGTTAAAAATGTCTCAGGAAGGCATCGAGACATTTGAGTCGTCGCAACTCAGAATACTTGACCCTTGACTTTGAAATATGGAATCTATGGGAATTATGTATTCGTCTGCCATTTTGAAAGTGTCATTTCAAAAACCCCGAGATGTACATTCTTTCTCAGACAATGAGGGTTTATTGAATTCTCAATTTTACTAGTCGGTGTTACTATAGAGTCCCTTGGTGGTATTAGAATACCATCCAGTGACTCTAGGCCCAAGATCTAGTGAATGTTAGACCTTCAATATTTTATGACAGCTGAAAGTTCCTCAGCGCATGCTCCCAAGACAGGTAGGTAGGTAGGTAGGTAGATGGGCAACTATGAAGTTTGAGATCATTTGGGATATCGTTCTTTTGATAGGTAACAGGTAGCAAAGGTGTATAATGAATACTAACTTGATTTTGTAATGGTCTTTTTTCTGTGGCCCTTACTTTGACGCTCTATTCAGGACAGGAGACTACTCTGGTATTTGACAGGGGGGATTCTCGAGCGCCAGATTTTTGATAAAGGTGATTTACTTCACCTGCTCCTCCCAACTTAGTCGGGAAGGAGGCCCACAGTAGCAACAGTGGAGAAAGGTACAGGAGGTATACCTACCTCGGTACCCACAGTATGATCCAGGGGTCAATGGTATTGAATCGACCTGGAATCAATAAGTAGCCAAGGGAGTGTAGGCTTTAATTACAAACCCTGGGTCTAGCCTGGAATACTGGTTGCTATTTCTGGTCTGGATAATTACAGGAATCAAAGCAAAATATCTCTCAGGTCTTTGATATTTTAAGATTAGGTCTGGAAAATTATTTATTCAACTATTTCATTATTTCTACCTGGAGAATCGGAAACACAGTTCTAAACGAATTAAACAGATTCAATTTCTATTTATCTTTCCTTTTCCTTCGATTTTTCTAATTTTCTAATATCAGATTGTTAGTGAGGTTAATTAATTATATTTTTCCATTAATGTCAATAGTTCATGAAACATAGAACACCGCCTGACGGGATACAAAGCACAGAGACACCGGTGCACAGGACTGGATTTCTCAAGGAAAAGAAGAATTGTTAACTGGCCTGTCAGTGTCAGTCGTCAGTCAATAATAATATTCTGCAATTTTGACAAATGAAAATATTGAAAATCACTAAATAAATTATTGAATTATTTGGAACTGAAAACAATGACAACAGAGAAGGAAATATGAAATATGCAATTACAAAATCCGTTTATTCAATTTAGAGTTCTGGATTCTTTACACAGGTCGGGTGAGTATCGGTGTGAAAAACAACAGGAATGAAATGAGGCTATAAACAGGATGAATAACACTGGAGAAAAATATACAAACTTACATGTGTAACAGGAAATCACTATACAATACTATTTTACACTGGTTTTGAATGAACTATGAGAGCACTAAAAGATCCGCTTGAGAATCAGGAGCTTGAAGAGCAACGGAGATCAGGTAGTGTAGACTTGTGGAGAAGAGCTTAGAGAGTCAGTCGAATCCTTGGTTGTCTTCAGTATTTATGCACTGCTTTGGCCTTGGCACAAGGACAAGTAAATCTGGAATCTCATTGGTCAAAACTCCCACCTTGTCATGGCTCATGGCCATGGCCACTAAATCTGTCCTTGAAAAACACATGCGCACCTCCAACACAAAACGCGGAAAAAATAATATTACACCCTAAATGAGCACAGGAACAGGATCTACTACCTTTGCTTATGCTACTGAATGAATTTGGCTGGAAAATATTCAATAACAACAAAGTTATGAGCAGGCAAACATTCATCATTTCAACTGATAGATAATTCAATCAAATTTCATATCATGAGCAAAGGGTTGAAAAATATGGAAGTCTTTAGGGTTGTAATGATGTTCATGAGAGTTTACTATCAGGAACAGCTTTGTGAAGTCAGGAATCAATGCATTACTCAGCTCTCTCAGGTTTTCAGGTTTCGAGCTATCGAACAGGTGAAATTCAACTAGAATCAGGCTCAGGTATTTAGATTTTGATCAAAACCAGTCTAGTAATGAAGCTGGTCAAAAACACTTCATTACAATTTCATCGAATTTTATTGTATAATTTTTATTTTATTTTTTTGTAATAGTATAAGATACCATGCATTGCATTGTCAGACACCATCGTGGCAACTTCTTGTCAAACACCCTTCAACTTTAATATATTGTATTAATTTGAATATCGAAATATTTACCTGTTGCTTGGGTAATAAGAAGATGATTTCTCAGTAACTAGACAGTTTTGATACTTCTAACATCTGTACAGACAAGCACACACTGATTTCCAGAAGTGATACCTAAATTCGATAAAATAAAGTTTTTTCAAAAAACGTTTGAATATGTCGATTTTAGTTTGTGGTGTTTTTGATGGTAAATATTATTTTTCTTTCCTTTTTGTATTTTCACATGAATACTTTTTGCTTCAAACATTTTTTAGGATCAATACAATTATTATTATTATTATTATTATTTTGGGTCTCGGCGTCGACTACTCAGATCATTGGCCATCCATACCTTCTGGTTGCTGATTCATACATTTATCTTTCATTATCATTTTTGTTGTTTTTTTCTGCACGTGAATAACTGTCAGATAGACCTTGTTCTAATATTCTTCTCAATAATTCTGTTGTTCTCAGGAATCTCATCAGTTTATCAATTTCTCTCATGTTATTAATGAGCCATATTCTCAAGTCTGCAGATAGCGCACGTTGAGATATGTGGTTGGTGACGAATTTCATTGTACTGAGGACACTCCATCAAAAAGTGTTCCACGGTTAGGCGAGCAGCACTGCAGGATTCGGATCTTGGATGTCTTCGTTTCTAAGCATGAACATTGATGTCGGGTTTGCATATGACCGATTCTAAGTCGGGTAACAATGACCTGTTCTCTCCTTGAAAGATTCTTTGGAAACTGTCATTACGTTACAAGCGGTTTTATTTCCTTGAGTTTAGCTTCAATATTACTCCACGCATACTGCCATTTCTTCATTATAATACATTTTATATACGCTTTCAAGTCGTCGTGTCTCACTAGAATATTTTCAGGTATATGTTCACACTTCCTACATTCTTCGCTGCTTGATCGCCAACTCATTTCCATATATTCCAACATGTCCTGGGATCCATATGATACCTATATGTTTGTTTTGTAGACCTAGCCAATCCATCAGTGCCAGTAAGACTTTTATCATCGGATCTTTTTTATATACATCTCTTAGTGTCCATATCGCACTGAGGGAATCTGAACATATCAAAATAATCATTCGGCTGCGTTTCCTCAGTATACCTCAAAGCTTGCCAAATGGCATATAATTCAGCAGTATAGATACTCGCAGAAGCTGTAAGTGTCCAGGAGTCACTTTTTCCAAAGGAAAAAAATCCGCTCCCCACACCTTCTTCAGTCTTAGAACCATCACTATATTTTATTCGACTATTTGCATATGTGTCGATCATTGAGTAAGTTCAAATGAAATATTTTATTAGTTTCGTCCTTCTTAAATGCTGCATATTCTAGATGTATTAATGGCGCGATTATTCTCCATGGAGGAATCTCACATGGCCCGTTATGTTATATGTTATAAAATGAAGGTAAGTAGAATCAAATTTGAATTCTGCAAGAGTTCTTAGAAATGAATTCCTGCTGGTCTCATTATAGTTGTTCGTCTCTGATACATGTCCATATCCTGGCCAGGACGAAATAAAATTCGATTATGATGGTTTGTTTGTGCACTAATACCCAAACCGTAGTTCAACAATCATATATTTCTTCGGTATCCTAAAGGTTGCATGCCAGTTTCATAATGGAGTGAGGTTAATGAACTAGTACGGAATGCACCAGTGACCAATCTCAGCCCCATACCATGGATGGAATCCAATAATTTCAAGTGAGATTTTCTAGCAGACCCATCATACACTACACATTCACAGTCTTCGAAGTGAAGTTTCTTGTCAAATATTTTCCAAGAAACTGTAGAGTCGATGTATACTCGGTAGGTTGACCACGTGAAGTGTGTAGTGTGTCTAGGCTCATTATAAAAAGATCGAAGTCGACAAGACTGCATGCATCTGATGGTTTTGTTAATGAAAAAACGGAAACAAATATCATCAGTTTTTTTTTTGTTAGTTTCTTCATTTTCCATTTTTTTTATGTATTTGTCTGAACAAAAATTGACAGTTCGTCGACATAGAGACATTTACCAAAGGATTCATCTATCACTGATACCAAACTATTTATTGCTATTGAGGATATTGTTACACTCAAAGTGGATCCTTGAGGGATTCCATTTTACTATACGTGAAGTTCTGAGAAAGTATTCCCTATTCGCATTTCAAAGTTACGATTTTTCAAAAAGTTCTGAATGAATGTGAGAAGGTTACCTCTCAAACCCCAGTTATGAAGCGTTCTCAGTATACCAAGTCTCCAAGTAGTGTCGTAAGCTTTTCCAATATCAAAAAATACTACCGTTAAGTGATTTTTTTCAGCAAAGCTATACAAGATGGCATTCTCAAGTTATATCATTTGATTGAATGGAAAAATGTTTAGAC